TGAATTTCAGGGAAGAACATTACGTGCTTAGCTAACATGCTTATATCTAGCTTGGAATTTTTCAGATTCTACCATCTTATCCTGTTTGACCCTAGGAATCACCGCAATGCCTGCCAACACAGAACGTAAATTTCCTCCTGAAACCTCTATGGTTCTATTTAATACGCTGAAATGCGCAGCCTCCATAGAACCAAATAAGATCATCGAATCAGTGTTGGAAGGGACCTAACAGGGTCATCTAGTCTAACCCCCTGCACAATGCAGGAAATTCACAACTACTTCCCCCCTCCACACTCCCAGTGACCCCTGCTCCATGCCCAGAAGATGGCAAAAAAACCTCCAGGGTCCTTGGCCAAACCGGCCTGGAGAAAATTGCTTCCTGACCCCAAAGTGGTGATCAGCTTTTTCTTGGGTGCGGAAAAAAGGGCCACAAGATCTAAGCAGTGATGCAAGCCTTTCTGCCCTCCCTCTCATGATTTGCCTAAGTTCACAGAATCAGCATTGGTGTCCGATGGCCATCTAGCCTCTGTTTAAAAACCTCCAAAGAAGGAGAGCCCACCACCTCCCAAGGAAGCCTGTTCCACTGAGGAACTGCTCTGTCAGAAAGTTCTTCCTATTGTTTAGCTGAAAACTCTTCTGATTTAATTTCAACCCGTTGGTTCTGGTCCGACCTTCTGGGGCAACAGAAAACAACTCCATACCATCCTCTATACTTGAAGATGGTTATCATTCCACCTTTCAGCTGTCTCCTCTCCAGGCTACATATACCCAGCTCCTTCTACCTGATACCATCACTTCACACGATTTGGACACTATACTTCTGTTGATACAGCCCAAAACTGCATTTGCCATTTTAGCTACTGCATCACGGTGCTGACTCCTGTTCAGTGTATGGTCTACTAAGACCCCTAGATCCTTTTTGCATATACTACTGCCAAGATAAGTCTCCCCCATTCTATAATTATACATTTAATTTTTCCTACTTAAATGTAGAACTTTACTTTTATCTCTGTTGAAATTCATTTTATTTGTTTTAGCCCAGTTTTCCAGCCTGTCAAGATCATCCTGTGTCCTGACTCTGTCTTCTACCATATTTGCTACTCCTCCCAATTTAGTATCATCTGCAAATTTAATAAGCATTCCCTCTATTCCTTCATCCATCCAAATCATTCATAAAGATGTTGAACAAAACAGGTCCCAGGAAAGATCCTTGAGGCACTCCACTTGTCACTCCTCTCCAAGAGGATGAAGAACCATTAACAAGCACTCTTTGGGTGTGATCTGTCAACGAATTACAGATCCAACTAACAGTAATGGGATCTAAACCACATTTTATCAACTTGTCAACAAGAATATTACGTGGAACCTTATCAAAAGCCTTACTAAAATCAAGATACACTATGTTTATAACATTCCCCTGATCCAGCAAGGTAGTAACTTTCTCAAAAAAGGAGATAAGGTTAGTCTAACATGACTTGATTTTGAGAAACCCATGTTGATTCTTAGTAATCATAGCCATCCTTCCTAAATGCTCAAGGACTGACTGTTTGATAGTTTGTTCAAAACTTTTCCAAGTACAGACATCAAGCTGATGGATTGGTAGTTACCCGGATCCTCCTTTTTCCCCTTCTTGAAAATGGAGACAACATTTGCCTGCCTCCAATCTTCTGGCACCTCACCTATTCTCCAAGAATTCTCAAAAATAATAGACAGAGACTCAGAAATCACACCTGCAAGTTCTTAGTACCCTTGGATGCAATTCCCTCATCATCTGTTGTGTTTCTGCCATTTGGGGCACTGTTTCCCTCATATGAGAAGACTGAGGAAAAGTACAAATTGAGCAATTTTGCCCTCTCTTCATCAACTGTTACAATTTCACTTTCCTGTCCCCGCAATGGGCCTACCATGTTCTTGCTCTTTTTCTTACTTTGAAGATAACAGAGGACCCCTTTTTGTCATTTTTAGCATCTCTCCATATCCTAAGCTCATACTGAGCTTTAGCTTACAAGCACTGGTTGTTTATAAGGCCCTCCTTCCATTTCCTAAATGAGTCTTTTTTATTTTTCAAATCTTTAGAAAGCTGTTTATGGAGCCATCTTGGCTTTGTTAGGGTCCTGCCATTTTTCCTTCTCATTGGGATTGTTTGTGATTGTGCCTTCAATATTTCGCTTTTAAAAACCTCCCACACCCCTCTTGAACTCCCTTTTCTAAGTATTTCTGACCATGGGATTCTATCCAGCATAACTTTAAATTTGTCAAAATTTGTTTTCCTGAAGTTCAACCTATATGTACAGCATTGTACATATGTACAGAATTTCCATTCCCCAAGACTATAAATTCCAAAAATACATGGTCACTACTACCCAGAGTGCCCAGTACTTTCACCTCATCAACCAGTTTTTCCCTGTTGATGAGAATTAAGTCCAAAATAGCAGATCCCCTTGTTTCCCTCTCCACTGTCTGGAGATGAAATTGTCAGCAAGACAAGTCAGGAATTTATTTGACCTTTCATTTTTTGCAGAGTTGGACTTCCAACAGATATATGGGTGATTGAAATCTCCCATGACCACTGTGCTCCCTCTAAGTCGTGGAGTTTCGTGACCAAAAATTCTACTTTGTGAGCTACTGGCATTAAAGTTATGAGCAAGCAATTTGGCTACTGCATAAATTAGTTTGTTCTGGAGCCATCCTTCCTGAGCTAAGACCAAAATGTTTGAGCTGGAGGCTAAAAAACTGTGAGCTAGTTCACAATAATTCAGTTACAGGGAACACTGGCCCTGTCTCTTTGAGAACTTTGTAATCTGTTCTAGGAGTTTCTCATCCAAGTCCTCAGTCTGGCTTGCTGGTCTATAGCAGACCCCCACCATAATGTCACTACTATTTCTTACTCCTTTTATTTTTATCCAGAGACTCTCAACTGAACTTCCATGCTCAGATTCATGTACTTCCTCACAAGTTTATACCTCCTTTACATCTAATGCTACTCCTCCCCCCCTTTTTTAAACAAGTTATACTCCTCAACCCTAATATTGCAATTGTGCATCCCACTAAGTTTCAGTAATGCCTGTTAGGTCATAGTCCCATTAGGACTTCAGGTTCCTCCTGCTTCCCATACTCTGCACATTAGCGCAGAGACATCGGAATCCATTGTTTATGTGCCCTGAGGTTTTCATTTCTGTACTTACATGCGAGTTAATGTTTCCTAGCATATGTGCCACTCCCCGCAAATCTTTAGTGTTCTTATGTCGTTATTGGCATCATACTAGGCTTTGAATTTTTGTCTTACTCCCCATAGGATTTAGTTTAAAGCTCTCCTTATCAAGTTTGCAAGGCTCTTATCAAACATATTTTTTCCTACCCTCATGAAGTACAAACTATCTCCCGATAGAAGAGCTTCATCTCAAAAGCATAACTCATGGTCCAAAAAACCAAACCTTTCATCATCCAATATAGTGAAAGTCAGTCTTGGAGCATCTAAAGGAATGTTTATAGTGATAAAAGTTTAACACATGAAGCTGCCTTATGCTGAATCATACTCCTTAGTCCATCAAAGTCAGGATAATCTACTCAGAATGGCAGCAACTCTCCAGGGTCTCAGGCAGAGATCTTTCTCATCACCTACTGCCTGGCCTTTTTTAAACTGGAGATGCCGGGAACTGAACCTGGGAACTACTGCATGCAAAGCAGATGCTCTACCACTGAGCCACAGCCCCTCTCCATCTCTTTCCAATATTACATTAACCAAAGATGTAACAATCACTCCCCATTATTTTCAGTGTATTTGGTGTCCAACCATACTTGGTGGGAAAGAAAAGGTCAGAGTATGTTGCAAATATGGGGATTTCCCTCAACATACGTAAAAAAAATTTTTTTGGAAGTCTCCCATCCAAATACTAGACAGGGCCAACCCTGCTTAACTTCCAAGAACTAATGAGATTGGGCTAGCCTGGGCAGCAACTTTAAATCCCCTTAGACTCTGAACCAGTTTCATTACAGTTTTGGCCCTGGCCTCAGTCCTTACCACTAAGCAAGATTATCTACCTGTCACTCAAAGTACATTAAAATACGATACCACGGAGTAGTTCCCAGAACAGGGGCAGGCTTAGACTCAAATTAGCCTCCTTCCAATTCATTTCTAGACTGAATTTTGTGCACCTGTTTAAATTCACACAAGTCCAAACAGTAAGATTTTAGTAGGACTTTGACAAATATTTGGGTAAGCTCAAAATACTGACTGAAGTAATTCTGCTGTATAAAACAAGCATTATAATGATTTGACTAAAAATAGTGTTTCAAATGTACTACTAGACAATACAGGGACCTCTGACCGCCTTCAGCGAACACTGAACTCTGGTGAATCACTCAGTGCTTTGAATTGCTAGAAACAAAGCGAATAACACAGGCAAGACTAAGACAAAGCAATGATTTGATGTCAAAACACAAAGGGTGAGGAACATATGCGTGAGCACACATACACACAATAAATATATGCATATACACACAGACATTGCTGTACTTGCCCAGCTAATGAGATATTTTAGATTACAATGCCACCCCCACTCCCCAGCAAACTGATTTCATCTAGTTCAAATGGCTTGGAAAAATGTTTTTTACTGCATAAACTTTAGCTCATCTTTTACCACTGCATTCGACTAATGGAAGCTCTTCAGCTAATATGTGTCCTGTTTAGCCAAGCAGAATGATAACATTTACCTAGTAGTTGTTGTGAAACAATATCTAAACACTCTGAAATTCTGCATCCAGTGAGAACTGACCAGTATATTAAATAGAGCAAGTCAAAGGAATGGAGGAACCCACTAAAGTATCAAGTAGAATTCCCCCAAGCAGTCTTCAAAGGTGATTTAAAACAAATTCCACTGTGAAGTGACTGCATTTTACAGACCTCATCCTCCCACCCCTGAACAGGCATTATCAGCCAACTGAATGTACAAAACATAATTTGGAATGATGATGTAAAATCCTGGCAGCAAAGTACACACCTTGGCATTGATATAGGGGTCAAAGGGGCCGTACTTTTTGAGTTCTTTGATCTCAAGAGCATTCTACAAAAAGGAGAGGAAAAGAAAACGTGATGATGAAATGGGCGAGATACAGCAGCAAAGCAGTGGGTGACTCTGAAGGAGAGGAACGACAGAACATGACAATGCTTCATTCCAGTGAAAGCCATTAATTATGCTGGCCATACCAGCAATCATTATAAGCGTACTGTGTACAGATTTAAGGACAACATGCAAATAAAAAACTGAATAATTTATGGTTTGCTACTTTTCAGTAATATCTTTCTCTACATTTAACCTCATGCTAACCAGAGACCATAAAAGCTATTCACTTTTATATGGTCCCTTCTGGAGCACTACAGAATGGTAAACAATTCTGTAAAACTTAAACACTGTCTGCCAGAACAAACTGAATGCTCACAGCTGCACTTGAGAGTGCAATAAGTAGAGCCCAAATTTTAGAAAAAGAGTTACAAACAATATAATCAAAGACCATTTTAATACGAACATTTAGCCATTTTAACATGAAGAATATTACTAATTAACAGTAGAACAGCACTTTTTAGTTCCTTTTGAACTAGCAAATCTGTTCCTAGAATAGACTATTTCTGGAAAAGCCTCTTTGAACTACTTGATAACACAGATGTTAAGCAACACAGTCAGACTAAGCACACTTTGAAATGGAGCTTTAACTTGTTCTGAACTTCAAAATGATGCTGTTCAGCAATCCAGCACACATAACATAGTCACTGTTAAGTTCAGTGGTGCACTACAAAATGTACAGCAACACTTACTTCATGATAGATCCAGGTGGGCAGCCGTGCTAGTCTGAAGCAGTAGAACAAATGTTCAGTCCAGCGGCACCTTTAAGGTGAACAAAAGTTTATTTAGGGTATGACCTTGCACATGAAAGCTCATACCATGAACAAACTTTTGTTGGTCTTAAAGGCGCCACTCGACTCAAAATTTGTTCTCCTTACTTCATGATTTTGTCTCTCCTCCACTGAAGAAACACACCCCATCCACAGTATGGGCAGAGTTACAGCCAGACCACTGTAACACAACCTGGGCAGAATACTCCCCAGTCTTCCCAGCTGTTTGTTGTTGTTGTTGGATTTTTGGGTTGTTTTTTTTAGCAACAGTACCTTGGCCTGCTCCCCTAACCCCTGGAGAACGAAAAGGACACTGAGTACTTTGCTTTAATCAGGAAAAATAATAATTTGAGGAATCTTTAAAAGAAAACTCATTGCCAATTATAATTCAACAGCATTTGACAAGATGAGCACCCAGAAGACCAATGCCTCATGCAAGAAACAAAATAGAGGGGGAAAGATATCCTCTGTGGTAGTTTAAATTAAAAGCTGCATTCAAATGTCACCATAAATCTCTGTTTGTCCATGATGGACATGAATGCAGCTTGTTCTTATGTACTCTCCCCCCAAACCCAGTTCATCAAGTGTCACTGGGGGTTTCAATTTGATAAGACATCTAGTACAGGTACCTGTGCAAACTAGAGTTTATATCCTCCCAACAAGACCAACTCTAGACTGGAAAGTTTAGCACCCCAGCTTTTGTAAAATAAGCAAGTTCTAATTTGACCAGATGCCTGCATTCAGACCATGGCAAAATCAGAGCCTGATTCAAAAGGTCCCAAACCAAGAAGCTTTCAATCGCACTCTGCATACAAGGGGAGATTTGGGGGGGGGGGACTGGATGCAGGGGTACACAAACATGAGAATAAGCTACATTCATGAATGCCACAAAAAGAGGTTTGTTATGATATTTGAAGGCATGCAAAATTAACTGACCAATGTGAGGATTTCATTTGGATAGTGTGCACACTGGAAGATACACACCCCTGCAGATTTTTAACAGAAATGTTATAAGTATGTTTGTCTCCAAGTAAAACAAATCCTATGGTACAAATGCTTATAAGTAATATAGCATGCTGTTAAACAGCAGAAGCAATACTAATGTTCTCTTACTTTAAAGAATGCACAAGTCTTTAGTAAGTTAACCAATAAACTAATACTGCATTTCCACAAGATTAACATGCTGAACACAAGTGCTGGAAAACATGCCCAAAGAAGATTAAAAGGTGGGTTTTCAAGATAGATGATTTTTTTCCACTTTGATAATGCCATCTTAGCATTTAATTTCATTCAAGTCCAAAATAAACTAGAGTTTAATTGGTACTGTATTCACCCTCCCTCCAGATAGGTAACTGTTAATTTGTAGCAACAAAACAGAAGTCCAATGGCACTTTACAGACTAAGAAAATTTATTCTAGCATGAACTTTCATAAAAGGAAAATATGCAGACCTGCTCATTCACTTTAGTGTGAGACGGTCCCTGGTGTATTAGCAGTTTCACTATCTCAGCATCTCCCTTCCAAGCTGCCAAATGAAGAGGATAACAGCCTTTGCAGTCGGCCACATTTGTTAATGCATCATTCCTCAACAGAACTTCCACAACATCCCTGGAGAATGAAAAGGACACTGAGTTTAAGTCTAGAATACGTTATTAAAGACTGGAAAGAACATGACAAATTAATATACAGATCCAGAATGCCTAACATACACTGTTTCATAAAACAATGAGTCTGAATACATTCTTTCAGTCCTCAAAATATTTGTAGATTTAACAGTTTATGCGCAGGGCTGCTTTAGAACAAAAGTGCTACAGCTGAGAGAAACATTAGCTAAGACTGCAACTAATCTCCTCTCATAGTGAACAAGGCTCCAATCCAAAGCACAATTACTGAGGGGAAAATCCTGATGAAGACACCGGCAGCACTTGGTAAGAAAGTGTACTTAGAATCATGCAGTATAAATTCCTTATGATCACTCAAGCCACATGTGAACAACTTCTTCAGTTTATCTGTAAGGCTGGAGGCTCATCTACTATAGTGAACATAATAGCTGAGAACTCACAAGTATGTAGCTTAGTTGCACTGCATCAAAAATGGTTTGAAATTATGGTGGGTAAATTCTGCCCCAATTTGTTTTGTTTTATTTTTGAAGAAGTTGTACACATTTCATATTCTAATAGTTAAGTATGGCCCAATCTGCAGATCTCTATATCCGCAGTCAAGGCTACACTGATACAAAACACATTTTCCTGCAAACTTGGGGGACTCTGCAGTTTTGCTGAAAAACCTGGGAACACTGAAAAGATACATTGGGGAATTAACCCCCACCCCCAATTTCAAGATCACTGTTCAGTGCTGTTCTCCTCTGTCAATGCAGGACTCACAGCACTCTCTCCTTACCACTGGGTCAGCCTCTTCTTCACCACTGACAGAGCCACTGCAAAAGCCAGGGAGCTCTCTACAGCTGCCAGGCCTGCTTCAGCTCCCAGCCTCCTTGTCATCAGACTTCCCCCCCCCCCACATCACCAGAGCCTCTACTGAAGCCAGGTGGCCCTCTGTGGCTTCCAGGCTTCCTCGCTGCCAATGCTAGCCTCCTCCCCCCAACATTGCTGCCAGGCTTCCTGTCCACGCCGTCACCACTGCGCCCCAGCCCCACAAGTTCTTTACAGGTCCCCACTTGTTACATAACATAAATACCACTGTAGGCAACTCAGTAAGATAAGCAGCAGCTCCCTCCCCCACCGAAGTATTTTTCCAGCTGAAAGTGGAGGTAGAGAGAAGGAAGGAGACACCAGAGGACAGATACAGTTTTACATATTTTATCAGTAAAAAGACAGTTTCGGTGCAATCATTCTGCCAGATCATTGGGCAATCATGAAAAAAACCCTCAAATAGTCTTTGGAGTAGGGAACAGGAAGAAGTGCCACAAGACTGCTTTTTCTATAGCAGACTAATCCAGCTATCCCACAAATTTGTATTCAAAAGGGAGGAGGAACCTGGCTGCATTTTGAGCCTTGATATGAAGAGGGAGTCCTTCACCTATAGGCAGGGGAGTCCTTCACCTATAGGCAGTCCAAGGGAGCTAACTTACTTGTGACCATTCAAAGAAGCATGGTGCAATGGAGTATATCCAGTACTGTCAACACAATTCACATTCGGTCCCCTCCAAATGCTGTAAAATAAAAACAAGTGTTAATACAGATTCAGGTGGGTAGCCATATTAGTCCGAAGCAACAAAACAAAGTTTTAAGTCCAGTGGCACCTTTAAGACCAACAACATTTAATTCTGGGTATAAGCTTTTGTGTGCATGCCACACTTCTTCAGATACACTGAAACAAGACTTCCTCCACCATTACATATAGGTGGGGGGGAGATAAGTTGCCTGGAAGGGCTTGACTCTAATTAGCCCTTCCTGGCAGCTAAACCCCCCCCCAGCTACCTATATATAATGGTTCAGAAAGTCACGCATTAACACAGTCAGACAGAACAAACAAGCAAAACCCAAGTGAACTAACCAGGTGAATGTTCTTTTGGAAATAAATTATCTTCATTAATCATTGTATTGCAGAATAAGTTATTAAAGTCTTTTTTTTTAAGGGATGAAGTGTTCCAATAAAGAACAAAGGAATCCTATATGTATTCTTTGACCAGGATATTAATAATATAACACAGCACTACCAATCCACCGGGATATTTAAAAAACCCACTAACATTTATAGATGTGAAACGTTAATTAGACATTAATGGTTAATTTATCATGACATATTGAACTTCTCTCAGGAAGAATATAAAATGAAATCAAGATAAGAGAAGAGAAGGATATAATTGTCAATTTTTTTTTAATAACACAACTGTTAGAAAGATATAAATTAGATAAAATGAGTTTGAAGAAACTAAGATGGTATTTGAAACAGAATTATGTACAAATGGCGAACATGTTGTTGCTAAAATGTATAAACTCATGCTGAAATATGAAACAGAGGAACAACAGGTGAAAGAATTTATGACAAAATGGGCTAAGAATTTTGGGCATAATATACAAATGGAACAATAGGAAAGGATGTGGTTGAAGGGTTTTAAATTTACACTAAGTTCTAACCTTAAAGAAAACTTTTATAAAATGAATAAAGTAGCTAAAATGCATAAAAATACTTCAAATAAATGTTGGAAATGAGCAACATGAAGGGACATTTTACCATATGTGGTGGAATTGTAATAAAACCAAAATACATTCAATTATGCAGAAGATTTTAAAGATTAATACTCAAATGAATCCAGAAGCTTTCTTTTGGGATTGATGGACAAACAACTGGAAAATAGCCATAGAATTTGGTTTTTATATATGATTACAGCAGTGAGACTATCATATGCACAGAAATTGAAAACTTAGATAATAGTTGATGAAGATGCTAGAATTGGCAGAAATGGCTAAACTCACTTCTTTGATTAGAGAAAAGATTGTTTTTACATTTATGGCTAACTGGAAATCTCTTACTGACTTTTTGCATGAAACGGAAAAAATGAACTTATGATATGTGGATTTGATGATTAAAAATAATTTACATAATAGAAAAGACAATTTTTGTTTCAATTTTGCTATAATTTTAGAGTAAGTAACCCTAATATTAGACTAAGTATCAAGTTTGTAATTGTCATTGAGAAATATGAAAGTTTCATTGAAGAGCCTCAGCCAGGAGAAAAGTGAGAGTGCCTTCCAGGGTGATCCCCATCCCCTTTCTTCTGGCTGTAGCAGGACTATCCCCGTCCCGTTTCTCCTGGCCATGATGAGCTGTGGCCAAGAGAATTGGGGAAATGAAGTTTCCTGAATGGTTTGGTTCGGGTAGGGCCCATTTGGCTCGGATCGGGGCCCACCCCAAGCCCCAAAACGCAATGAGCCACCATTTTTTAGCTTCATGTCCATCTCTAGTGACCACATTTCCCAGTTCATGCTCCAATATTCTTTTGGATAACTTGTTTTGTATGTCACCATTATGCAAAATTAGAGAAGCCTTATTTCAGGTAAAATATTAATTTATTGTAACAATCTGGTAGACAGTAATTCCTTGTCCCCCATCACCCATTCTGAAACAAAGATGAAGTAAAGCATGAACCAGGCCTAACAATGCCATTTCCTCCACAGCATATAATTTGTATAGCTCATTTTACAATATACAAGCTCACTGAGCAATTGAGGTTTCTAAACAATAATTAAACTCTTGGAATGAAAACTTTTTGATGGAAATTGCAGGAAAAGAAATGGGGAAAGGTGAGATGACAACTGCATACTATTATTCTTACAAGCTAAATCTGAAGTGAGGATACACAGCTTGCCAGAATAAGCAGCAAGCTATGAGAAGATTTAGCATTTATGGGTGAATCTCTTTTTTCCATCCTCCAATAATGTGTAGAGTTTATATACAGCTGTACTGGGACAACATGCAGACAAGTTTAGACTGGAGCCCTGAGGGGGTATGAAAAGATATATCTAGGAGAGATATGAAACATTCTACGGTATTTATGCCATTCCTTTTCCTCTGCATGGCATTGTAAGGATCTCTTTACTATGTGGAAGGATAAGTTGATCATCTATACAAATGCTACACTGGTTTGAAGTACCTCTCTATCATAATAAAGTAAGCAGCTGGTGTAGTATAGCAGTTAGAATGATGGACTAGGGTAGGGAGGTAAAGGTTTCCTTGCTCGAAATCCAGTCAAATCTGACTCTAGGGTTGCGGTGCTCATCTCCGTTTCAAAGCCGAAGAACCAGCGCTGTCCGAAGACATTTCCGTGGTCATGTGGCTGGCATGACTAAACACGAAGGTGCACGGAACGGTGTTACCTTCCCACTGAAGTGGTACCTATTTATCTACTTGCAATTTCTTGCTTTCGAACTGCTAGGTTGGCAGGAGCTGGAACTAGAGACGGGAGCTCACCCCGTCATGTGGCACACTTGGGTCTCGAACTGCTGAACTACCGACCTTCCACAGCCTGCAGTTCAGCATCTTAACCACTTGAGCCACCACAGCTACCAGGGTAGGGAGATGGGAGTGTAAATCTCCATTTTGCCATGAAGTCTGCAGAATGATCTTGGGCCAGTCACTTTCTCAGCCCAACTTATTACATAAGATTATTGTGGGGAGAAGCACATTGTGTATGCCACCCCAAGTTCCTTGTATGGACAGGACAAAAATCAAATACCAAAATACATTCATATTAAGTGAATAAATGCATAGCTATGGCACAGATGATTTCAGATCTAAACCTAGCACTCAACTTCCAGCCTCTGTGTCTATAATCCTCATTAATGGGGCAGATAAAAGAGCTGCACACAATCCTGGTTTCTTTATTAAAATCCTGAGGATAGCAGTCAACATCAGGAGAAAATTAGATGGCTATGGTAGGGTGCTACTGTGCAAAAAGTTAGAAACGCTTGCAGAAGCAGAATGCCTTGTTAGAAATGTAGAGACTGCAGCCACCTGAAAGTTTTGGGGTGGTTTTTTTTTGTTTTGTTTTTTTAGGACCAGCAATAATCTTTAGCAGCAAAACTGGGTACCTGCTATGATGTATAGAACCATTAAATTTGGTTTAGCCCACTTGGACATCCATTCATCTATCTAAAAAAGAGACAGAGGAATTTCAGATAGACGATATAATCTGGAAGACTAACGGTTCCCAAACGGCTTCTGGTCTGTCATTTCAGACAGAACCGTTTTAGAGCCGTTTCCCTACCGGGATACATTTGTAAATTTCACACACAAACGCTTGTGTCCCGTTTAGGAAACAGGGCTGAAGCGTTTTACACCTGTCAACCGCTTCCAAGTAGTCTTCAGTTTCCCCTCCCAGTTCCGATGCGCTTTCCCCCCGCCGTTTTTCGCCCGCGCGGGCGATCTCCGGTGGTTTTTTAACATTTGCTTTATAGCACTACAGCATTATATCAACCCCATTGGAATGCCTGGAGTGTTGTGTTATAGCACTATAGTGCTCTAAAGTGAACGTTAAAAAAAAAAAACGCCGGAGATTGCCCATGCGGGCGAAAAATGGCGGAGGAAAAGCGGGGAAAAGTGGTGCAGTCTGAAATAGCAAACCACATCAGATCCAGCTCTTTACCGGAAGGGGAAAGCCATGTGTGAAATGGCAGCCCTATACCGGTTTACTTCACGACGGATCAAAAACGGCTTCAAAACAGGTTAAAAAGTGTAATGTGAAATTCCTCACTGTTTTTCCTGCAACCATTTGCCTAGCACCTTCCATATTACATTTTGGCTGCCAGACTTATGTGTTTTTCATTACTGTCAATGTTTTTGGTTTCATGGTTATTTATTGATAGATTAAATATTTTTGAACTTCTACACTGCCTTATAGCTATGAAACAACAGATCAAGTATTTAACTGAACAAATCTGATACATGTGGGCCAGCCATTTTTTCTACACATTTTGCTCAGATCTGGAAATTGGCACTGCACTGACAGCGCACTTTTTAAAAAGAACAGATCTATGCCTATCTGTCTAATGGACTACTAAACTGTAAAATTCTGATCACTCCACATGGTTACAAACCAATTTATACCAAGTATGAAATTATGTACTACCATATATTTAGTTTCTCTGGAACAACTTGGAATATCAATTAAAGAATATGCTTTGCACTGTGCACTTCTACTCACCAAAGTAAACTGAGTAGATGATGTCACAATAGCCGTTTGTACTTTATGCAATAATTTCTATTATGAAATTCACTACCATAATATCTTAAGATGTAGAACCAGGGATGTTCATTGAATCCTGTTTTCACTATTCTCTGGACCTCTGCCCGCCAATCCATTATTTTAGAATCAGGAAAGAATCCTTAACAACCAGAGCAACTCAAAGGTTTCTAATCAAACTAGGGGTGTGCATTCAATATTTAACAAACCAAATAAATACCCCAAAAATAGTGGTTAAGTGCGCGGACTCTAATCTGGGAGAACCAGGTTTGATTCCCCACTCCTCCACTTGCACCTGGCTGGATGACCTTGGGCAAGCCGTAGCTCTGGCACAGCTGTTCTTGAAAAAGAGCAGTTTCTGTCAAGGGCTCTCTCAGCCCCACCTACCTCACAGGGTGTCTGTTGTGGGGAGGGGAAGGGAAAGGAGTTTGTATGCCGCTCTGAGACACCTTTGGGTAGTGAAGGGC